AAAGAATTCAAAAGCATAGTAGATATTTAGATTACTTAGTGTAGCGTTTCCAAACCCTTTTGAGTGCTAAAAGTCAGAGCGGTTGCTAATGACAATTACAAAATATCTGCACTCCTTGCGAAATTGATTTGATAAATGTGGAATCCCTATTGGCCAGAAATCAAGCTAAAATTGTCCCGTTGAAAATTGATGTAGCAGATGTTTCACGTCAATATTTAAACGAATCAATGCCAAGTACCGTAGCCAGGAATAGCGGGGCCGCCGGGGACTGGGGGCCGTTTTTTTGCGTCGTTATTCGTGGGGGGATATTTGCCATAGTTGCCACGCTTGGCATGCGGGTTGGCAACCGCAGTTTTTTTATTATAACACAGTCGTTATCAGAAAGATGCTGCTGCCCATCTCCTGCCTGTCTCCCTCTGTCGCCTCTTACGGGGGTGGATGTCCACCTAACACTTATAAAATGTTGGTGGACTACTTCACCTCCAGGCGTGTGGGCCTCTACATCGGGGACCGGGTAGAGTGGAAGACTTCGACCATGGGATGTCCTCAAGGCTCCGTGCTGGGCCCAACACTGTGGAACGTGCTGATGGACGATTTGCTTCGACTCCCTCTGCCTGAGGGAGTTGCCATGACTGCCTATGCCGATGATGTCACAATCTTGGTTGAATCGGAAACGAGAGCAGGTATTGAATCCAGGGCCCGGGTCACTCTGGACCTTGTACGGGAATGGGGGCTAAGGAATCGACTGAAGTTCTCCTCCTCAAAGTCTACCACCATGACTGTTAGAGGGAAACTTCAGCGCCCCCCCGTTATTAAACTTGGTGGGGAATCAATCAAGTCTGTGACTACCGCTAAGGTGCTAGGCGTGGTTTTGGACTCAGGACTATCATTTGTGCAACACGCTTCTGATATCTCTGAAAGAGCGACTAAGGGATTTGGCAAAATGACTCGCGTATCGACATCGTCATGGGGTATGCGATACCCGAGTTTAAAAATTATTTACAGAGGAGTGTTTGTGTCCACGCTCACGTATGCAGCAGAGTGCTGGTACGAGCGGGCAAACATGTACACAGTCCGCAGCGTACTACTGAGATCGCAACGATCTGCACTTGTCTTGCTGACCAAGGCGTACCGGTCCACTAGCACGGCGGCCTTACCGGTGCTGGCTGGCGTCCTCCCTGCTGACCTGGAGGTCATTCGTGCTGGTAGGATGGGTTTGGAACGCTTGACCGCGCCCAGAGAGGAGTTGAGCAGACGAAAGCGCGATATCTGGACTGAGGTGATTTGCGTATGGCAGAATCGATGGAAAAACGAAACGAAAGGACGTGAGTTATATCGATTTTTCCCGGAGGTGGCGGTGAGACTCAGGTATACCTGGGTCTCACCGGACTATCAAACATCCCAGATTCTCACTGGACATGGATGTTTTCGGAAGAGACTGCATGACATGCGACTGTGTGAAACCAGTATGTGTGAGTGTGGTACGGCAGAGGAGGATGTTCACCATGTCCTATGGGAATGTCCTCTGTATGACGATCTAAGAGCGAAAGTGTTGGATGGGCTGGTTCGAACGGTTCAGGGACCGATTTACTACTCGGATCTCGTCAGCGATGGGGTGAACTACGGGCTGTTGCGTGAGTTTGCGCATAGGTGGCACGATCGCAGGAGAAGGCAGGAAAGGATGCTGGTAGGAAGGCCCGACGACGTAGGCGTTGTTGTGCCGTCAGCCCCAGAAGGGGGAGAATGACGTTAAACTGGGACAAGGAACAGAATAAATATTTGTAGGGAGTCAAGAAAGTGCGCGCGGGAAAGAGCAAGGTGCAAGTACCGCGCGCATCTCCCGAGATTAGGCCCGTATGACCTGAGGGTCGGTGGGGCCATGGGAGGTGGTGGGTTGTCGCCTCTTACGACACCCACGGGAAGATATGGGGTAGTGGATATTCTCAACCGCCACTACATGGCAGTAACCACAAGAGAAAGCGGTGAGCTGAAGGTGGGGAAATTTGGAGTAGGGCAACTGAACCGAAGGGGCCAGCAGCTGGCCGACTTTATGGAAAAAGAGGGACTCTTTATGATGAACTCTTTCTTCCAGAAGCGGCCCCACAGGAAGTGGACCTGGTCGAGCCCCGACGGTTCGACAAAAAATGAGATTGACTTCATTATGATTACCAGACGCCAACTGTTCAGTTATGTCTCAGTGATCGCAAGGGTGAAAACTGGCAGCGATCACCGAATGGTTAGAGGCACACTGAACCTAAATGTTAAGTTGGAGAGGTATCGTCTAATGAAGTCAACGCTCCGACCCCCTCGTGCTCTAATCCAGAATCCCGAAACCTTTCAGCTCGAGTTACAAAACCACTTTCAGTGCCTAGAGGATTGCAATGCAGTGGACGATATGAATGACAAGCTCGTGGAAACTGTCCATGCGGTCGGAGCTAAGTTCTGCAAGACCCGCCGCAGAAGAACACAAAAACTCTCCGATCACACTCTTAATTTCATGGCTGTTAGACGGGAGATGAGGCTGCAATCGTCAACAGATTTGACAGCATACAGGCAACTGAACAGACAGACGGAACTAGGGCTCCAAAGTCTTTGCCAGAGATCTGTCTGCCAGAAAGAGCCAACTGTCAAGGCTGAAGACTGAGTGTGGCAACATCGTTTCCGGGACACCTGAGATTCTGAGTGAGATTGAGAGGTTCTATGGGCAGCTGTACACATCATCGTTGGAGCCACACGCAAGTGTGAGTAACGATCCAAGAGCAAGTCTTATCCGACACTATTCCGATGATATCCCGGACGTCAGTCTGAGCGAGATTAGAATGGCTCTCCACCACCTTACAAACGGGAAGACCCCGGGCGAGGATGGAATTACAGCGGAGCTTCTGAAAGCGGGTGGAACACCGGTACTTGAAAGAAAGGCGAACGAACGCGAACGAAGCAAAACGCTCTCTTGAAGAACTACAGACCGATTTCACTTCTGAGCCGCGTCTACGTGCTGTTTTCGAGAGTCATTACGAATCGTCTCGCACGCAGACTCGACGACTTCCAGCCTCCCGAACAAGCCGGTTTCCGAAAAGGCTTCAGTACCATAGACCACATACATACCCTTCGGCAAATTGTACAGAAGTCCGAAGAGTACAATCTGCCACTTTGCCTGGCGTATGTGGATTATGAGAAAGCCTTTGATTCCGTCGAAATTTGGGCGGTGCTACAGTCTCTTCAGCGGTGCCTAGTTGACTATCGGTATATTGAAGTGCTGAAGTGTTTATACAGTAGGGCTACGATGGCTATCCGAGTACAGAAGCAGAGTACGAAACCTATCCAACTGCAGAGAGGTGTAAGACAGGGTGATGTTATATCCCCGAAACTCTTCACCGCTGCGTTGGAAGACGTTTTCAAGCTACTGGACTGGAAAGGATACGGTGTTAACATCAATGGCGATTACATCACTCACTTTCGATTTGCCGACGATATAGTCCTTAGGGCAGAATCGCTGGAGGACCTTAGCACTATGCTCAATGACCTCAATGGTGTCTCCCAACGGATAGGTCTTAAGATGAACATGGACAAAACAAAGATCATGTTTAATGTCCATGTCACACTTATGCCGGTAGTTGTTGGGAGCACTATGCTCGAAGTTGTTGACGAGTACGTTTACCTGGGACAAATAGTCCGACTAGGTAAGTCCAACTTCGACCGAGAGGTCAATCGACGGATTCAACTCGGCTGGGCAGCGTTCGGGAAATTACGACACATCTTCTCGTCAGGTATACCTCAATCTCTGAAAACTAAAGTGTAACCAGTGCGTGTTGCCAGTGATGACTTACGGATCTGAGACGTGGTCCTTCACCGCTGGCCGTATAAGGAAGCTCAAGGTCGCTCAGCGAGCTATGGAGAGGGCTATGCTCGGAGTTTCACTGCGTGATAGACTCAGAAATGAGGATATCCGCAGTAAAACCAGACATAGTCCAACGGATTAGTAAGCTGAAGTGGCAATGGGCCGGCCATATAGCTCGAAGAACCGATAACCGATGGGGAAGAAAGGTTCTCGAGTGGCACCTTGGTACCACTCGAGAACCTTTCTTGGTACCGGTAGGCGTAGTGTAGGGCGACCCCCCACTAGATGGAGTGACGACCTGGTAAGACATGCAGGAAGTCGATGGATGCAGGTGGCTCAGGGCCGTGCTTTGTGGCATTACTTGGGGGAGGCCTATGTTCAGCAGTGGACTTGTGAAGGGCTGTAATAATGATGACGATGATGAATGCCAAGTACTACCATCGTTGCCAAGTTTGGTGATGTTAATTCTCCAGATTTGTTTGCGAGTTTACCTGGGACTTCCATGACTATTCCTAAGATATTGTCAGCGGTCGATCTAGCGATGATTCTTCAGAAACTCCCAACTAAAACACGTGGTTCGATCGCCACATAGGGACCCACAATGTGAAGATTCATTCGATTCTGTACCATCGATACGCTAACAATATGAACGTCTATAAACGATATAATTTAACACACGACCTTTCGACAATCATTTGTTTGATAATATGCATTATGCGCAATATGTTTAAGAAGGGTTAGTAAGGGGTTCCGACCGGGAGACTGTGTGGAAAGAGAAGAAGCTCCATTGAAGGTTCTACAAGGCTCTACACGAACCTTTCGTAGATACAGTTGCCTCCCTCCACTGGCTACGTTTTGGTAATATCTTTGAGGAAACATGGAGTTTTGTCTGTGCAATACAAGATCACGTTATTAAAACCAACAACTATTGAAGATACATCCTAAGTGATAGCATTGTCGACATCTGTCGAGCTTGTCGCCATCCCTGTGAATTACTTAGGCATGTCATCTCCGGTTGTTCGGCGTTTCCTAACCTTGAACACTTGCACAGACACAACCTAGCAGTCAGGATCCTATCAACACCAAAAGTTCGTCCTGAAATATGATCTCGTATAGTATAAGTGTTTTTAATAGTTTTTAATAATAATTTACATATTATCAGGTGCGTTTGCGTTTTCTGGTTTCTATCACCGCCATTCGGAAACCACGTACGTTGGTCCGCACGCCGAACAGTTCCAGGCGAAAGACCCCAGCCAAGGTCTCTACTGCCACTCCGACGATAGCTGGAGCGACGCACAATGCATTTACAAGTAGGTTTATTAACCCCCGACGATTGTGCTATAAATTTGTACCGTGTATCTGTGTGTCTTTCTGTGGCATCATAGTTATTGAAAGGATGAACCGATATTGATGAAGTTTTTTTTTCGTTTGAAAAGTGTTTTAATCGAGAGAGTTCTATGTTTCAATAAAATCTGTTTAGCCGTTTGAAGAACATCAGTTCTTTTTTTTTCCGGTTTTTTTTTTAAATTTTACTTTAAGTAAAGTTCTTGGAAGACCGTCAATGTAATATACATATATATATATATATATATATATATATATATATATATATATATATATATATATATATATAATATATATGTGTGTATATATATATATATGTGTGTGTGTGTGTGTGTGTAATTATTATTATATTTTGTAGCTAGTTATAGCGCTAAGGGCCGCGGGGTCAAATCTCGTACGAAACAATAGACAAGTAATTGTTCCGGGTTTGGACTTGTTTGTCCTTGTGCAATTTATGTATGTAAACCGCCTCCACGATACAGGAGAAAATCCTAGAGTGGGGGTAACGTTTTTTAAGAAAAGAATAAAGAACAATATTATTTTTTATTGGAAGTAGACTTAATCTATGGATTGATTGTGCACCCTTATAGTTTACACAGCGTTACAGAGTACTATAAAATCAAGACAAAGCAAAGTTACATAAACTTATGAAGCAATAAATCCATAAATCCGGAGTAGGACCACGCTCTCACAGAATACCAGCGTAAAATAGCAGCATAATACTGCTGTGTTTCGCATGGTGAGTGTAGAGATCCAGAGACCCTTTTTTACTGGAAACAAGACGTTTCGTCTTAGTCCTGAGGGATGACAACACATATGTGTTTTGATTTTTAATCGAGGATGATTGTAAATGTCTATGGGCCACAGCATCCACTTACCTGAACTGTGTGCTCGTTTGACAACCTTATTCTATAAAAAAAAAACTAATAAAATAATAACATATACAGGGTTACTGGAAACTCGACCTATTCCTGACTAGACGTGACAGAGGAGTCAAAATGCAACAAATTTTACCTACATTTGTATAGCGAAATGAAAGTGGTTCCCTACATTCTTTTTTATTTTAGATTTTTTTTATAAATTACCCAGATTTCTTCATATTTACCAAAATTTAAAAAAAATCTGCTCATTGATTAGTATTACTATTTACTTTTATTCAACGCTGACAGTTAGATAAAGCTACAAAGCTCATTAGTATCTGAAATCACTTAACACTTTAAAGTCATGAGCCAAAAATCAGTTTCAAAATTTTAAATTTTTAAATTGTTACAGGTTAGTACTGACTCATATCTCAAAATTTTACTATGGCACTAAGTGTACAAATCACTTAATTATCTTCCTCATTTAATAAGCTATCCAAAAAGGTATGAATGTCAGTAGAAACTTATGAAGTAGTTGTGAAGGGTTATAATGATGATGATATTAACTATGTAGCGGGTATTATGGGGCATGAATGTTAGATTAGATATTTATAGTGGTGATCCATAAATGTTTCCTATATTTAGAACCCCCCTTATATAATAACCCCTCCTTTCTGCCAAGGAGGGTCGCGTTCGTATACGGCTTAGAGATCTCTAGTTAGATCGTTAAGCCAGTTCCTAAAAGGTTGGATTTAGTGGGTAAAAGTCACCACATAACCACGCAGCCGGCTGCGTGGTATGCTATGAGCATTCCCAACCTCCCTCCCCCGCTTTCCGGAGGGTTGCCCATATTTGCTTCGGGCGCAAAAAAAATGAAGATTATCTAATTTTTCAGAACTTTCAATGATAGTGTTCGTAATATTTAACCGCCATAACAAAAAGAGGAGGTTCCATATTCGACGCGTATATTCTATATATATGCTCAGTGAATTTTAGGAAACTATGAAACTTATTCTTTTTTTTTACTAAAGTGACCAATCTCAAGGGTAACTATATCATTTAAATTTGGGAGAAAAATTTACAGTTCGATCAAGTGGATCCCACCCCAAGCTCCAGGCGATAATCGCATCGCTCCAGTAGCCATTAAGTAGGCAATCCTTTCTACACAGTTTAGTCTGGTCGCAATCGTCTTTTGGTTGACCTTGTTGCACCAGACAGTAAAGGGGTGGGTAAAAATCAGCCTCACTATGCTGCTGTACAGCCATAGCATCATACTGGGACTCAAACCCCAGATGTTCCCTACCAAACGACTGCACGTACTTAAAGCAATTTTAGCCTTCTGACATACGTTGCTAAGGTAAGAGTTCCACGTTAGTTTTTGGTCCAGTACAGTACAGAGTCGTGGTAGCTCAGATGGTTAACGCTCGTTGTAAATATAACAGAACGCGAGTAACCCGGGTTCGATCCCCGCCGGCACCAATGAAATTGTTAATTGCAATTTTAAGTGCTGATTTACCACGTGCTCGGCGGTGAAGGAAAACATCGTGAGGAAACCTGCATGTCTGAGGAATAAGAAAAAAAATATTTCAAAGACATGTGAAGTTCGCCAACACGCATTGGGGCAGCGCGGCGGACACTTCCTTGCCCTAAAACCCTCTCAGAAATGAGGGGAGGCCTGTGCCCAGCAGTGGGACGTATATAGGCTATAACTTTACTTTACTTTACAGTACAGAGTACAGATAAAATAGGGGTGATGATTTATTGTATAATATTTTGGTCTGAAGGGATTAAGATCCTTATTTTCCTACCAGATTATATTGTTAATTCTAAATAGATGGCGGTCAAGTTAATAGTTTTTACAATACTATTAAAGTATAACTAGTATATACACTTTGTGAACTCGAACAGAATAAACCCACGAGAAGAGTTCCCGGAATCGGTGGAGTATGAACCGAAGGTATCGTACTGGTGCGGCCCGTACCGGTACTTCCTGCCAGCGACTACTGACATACGTTGCATCTTCTCTATATTCTCCATGAATTTCGTGCTGCGTTTCGGCTACGACGGCGTTACATACAAGAGTTCGGATCTGTCTTTCGTAAGTATTCTCATAATCATCATCGTCATCTTTACAGCCTATTTAATTGTACTGCTAAACATAGGTCACCCGTTTAGTTTTCCATATGGGGTATATATGCCATGCTATGGCATGTCAATCTGAGATCGATTAATCGAAGAATCGATTTTTTGTGCCACAAAGATCGATATTTTTAATCTATATATAGTACTGAGTCGATATTTCACCCTAGAAAATCAAGATCGAATCTTTTTCTGTTTTCATAAGAACTGTAAAATTATTTACAATTACAGTGGATTTTATTTATTGCGACCTTGGTTGTAGCGACAATTTACCTATAGCGACGTTAAATCTAATCCCTTGAATTTAAAGCATAGTTTAGTACAAAATTCATGTGGCTATAGCGTCTTTGGATGTAACGCCGAGTTCGTATGTAGCGACTGTTTTTAATGAATCATGTGTAACAAATTCCTAGAAATCCCATGCAGATATTGCGTCCGGAGTCGGCCGCTAAACACACAAAGATTTCTTTCTTTCACAAACATTTCTTATCTTTTGTTTACATCCACACAGATGGTTAGCAATTGTGGGGACCTTTACCTTTTGTTTATAGATATCAGCTAAATAGATAGGGCAGCATGTGTGTTTACTGGAGTTAAATTTATGGTTCAATTACAAAGTGATATTCTGAGTAGCATTTTGAAATAGACCATTGAATAACTATGTGTGCAAATATTTTCAATAATAAATGAATATGAGCTATACTTGTGTACGTGTGTATCTCTTTACCTTTGCCTGTAACGACTTCCGGATGTATAAATTATAAAAAGATATATAAAATAGAGTGGTCCCTTCATCGTCGTTATACCCGAAATCCACTGTAATTGAATGTACCCTTACTCGTAAAGAATGAGATTTTTTCTATTCAAAATCTAGCAAAACTGCTGTGTGCTCAGTTTCTTTTGCCTCTCCTTAATGGATTAAAGAAATATAAAATAAGTTACGTTTGTAATCTGTACTTTGTATAAATCTGAAATCAAATCGGAGAAACATCGATTTTTGATGTGACGATTCAGGAAAATCTTCCCCATGAAGGTAAAAGCATGTTCAGCAGTGGACTGGCTGTTTTTAATTTTTTTCTTACGCCGAAAACTAAAAAGATCTTATTAATTTTTTCGGTCGTTGGTGCAGGTTAACTCTACTACGACTCACTTTGCCTCCTCTTCTATTCAAAAAAATAAACATTAATTCGCAATTCGCAGATGTACCAAAATGGTCAAGTGTTCTACACCGATGAACCGTGGGCCGGAATGTCGTGCTGGAACTGGGCATGCAAATGGCGTCATAATCAGAACCAGCGCTCCAATGAATTCTTCGTCAACTAATAGCCCCTACAAATATTTTAATGATTATAAAAATATTTAATATTATTTTGTTGTTGTTTATTTTGTGAAGAATAATAAATAGGTGGATGGCCTGCCTGCATAGATTGCACCTATATTTTTGAAGGGAACCGGTGTAATTAAAGGATATGAAACACTGACCACATATACTAGTACGGTGAACTGCCTATAACCTACAAAACGTTTGTACTGCTTTGAAGCGCCGTTATTGAGTGTACCTGGAACTAAATTTGACATAATTTGCAAATGGACATTGTTTGCTCAAAACGTCTAAGAGTATTTTTAATTTTTAAACGAGAAAAGTTGTGTGTTGTGTAGTTTGGTTATATTTCATGTCAGTAATATAGTAAAAAGTATTTTTAGTAACAATAATTATGTAAAATTCGTTACCAGAAGGGAAGTGCGGTAACATTCAACAGGTATTGTATTAAAAACTTAAAACTGATTCGTATTATACTCTTAAAAATCTGTCACTTATCTTATTAAATGTAATTACTAACATGTTTGGCTTTAAATTACCTATTTTTTCCTTTCCACATAAAAAAAACACAAATGGTAAAAATATTGACATTTTTAATAACAAAGTAAACAATTCCAAAAAATCTGATTTAGATATACTTTGTAAATAAGGCATCCAATGCTTAAAATGTAAATTTAAATATAAAGGTAAATGAACATTATTTTAATATAGATTTATTTCTTCTAAATTTTCCACAACATAAGTTTATAAGTAAAGTACGTTTATAAGTAAGGTTCTACGTATTTGTGCTGTAAACTCGATATTGTTACCTAATATCATGTTGTGTGCACATACTCGTATTTTGGAATACCATCCAGATTCTAACTTTTCATTTATTATGTTCAATTGTTCGTATTTTGGTGTTATTCCGTTTTGTACGTAAATAAATAAAATAAAATTACGATAAGGTAAAAGAATTCAGGAAAAATGACATATAAATTGGCTGAATTGAACCCTCTTGGAGATCAGTTTTCAAAACAATGACGGACTCTGTCTAAACGCTAAAGAAGGTTATTTATTTAAAAAAAATGTACGGTCAATAACTGAAATAAACGCGATGATTTCAAAATATCATGTAATGTATTTAAAAACTTACCTTGTAACAGCGATGTAAGAATATCCACTACCCCATATCATCTCGTGGACGTCGTAAGAAGCGACACAGGGGAAACAAATCAGGAGATGGGCAGCAGCGTCCTCATAATAACGACGTAATAACAGTGGTTGCCAACCCGCTTTCCAAGCGAGGTGACTATTGCAAATATCCCTCTACGAGGCAACCTATGGAGGAGGCCTATGTTCAGCAGTGGACTTTAATACGCTGTAACGATAACGGTATGTGCAAGCCTTCGCTACGCGGACCCTGCACCATTTAAACTGGTCCTGTCTCGATCGCGATTGATCGAATCTTTTTGATTCGATTGCAACCTGTACACGAGCGATCGAACCATGGATCTCTAAAAGATTCGATCTTATTTGACCCGATTTCAAGGTGACGAGACAAACCATATTCTACGTTTTTTTTTTTGCACATTTTTACATACATATAATCGATCGAATCGTGCAATCAATCACACATCACACAACGACGTAATAAACAAAATGTCTTCTGTCTCCTTCGTTTACTCACAATTCAACCAATAAGCAAATCGTAGTATGTATTATTACTATTATAGCACCCGTTCAGCATTTTTCATTCGGTCATACAAAGCATACAAACGAGCTGCGATCCAAACGATCGAATCTTTTTAAAACGACCACCATACGAGTGGGTCGTAATCGACCCGAGTTACGAGAAATGATCGATCGACATTGGTCTAATTTAACCCATGCATGCCAGCCAGCAGCCATAACGTAAATCTTGTCACGGTCTCTATACAATTAACGGACGAACCTCAAGGGCAGGGATGGCGAACCAATGGCACGCGACACAATACTTTCGGTACGCCACTTATCGCAAGGTTCACTATGAAGTATTAATACTATTTTTAACGTGTTGAGCCGTGCTGCAGCTATATTAATTGTATATTTGTAGCACGAATGGGTCGGCTCGACCGGGGAAGGACAACGTTCTCACAGAATACCAACTTAATGCTGCTGTATTTCGTATGGTGAGTGTGGAGAACCGGAGACCTTTTTTACTGGAAAAGAGGCATTTCATCTTAGTCCGCAATGCTGACAACACATCTGCATTATGATTCTCAATCGAGTATAGATGTAGATGTCTATGAGCCACAGCAACCACTTACCATCAGGTGGACTGTGTGCTCGTTTGTGGACCACAAACCCCATAAAAAATTAACAGTTCTTTAGAAAAAGAAAGAGTCCCGTTGTTTGTTTGTTGCTGTTTCTTCCCACGACAGAGGTGTTTTCCGAACCAGTGGTAAATGAACATATTATTAATAATAGTCAATAAGTATTAATTATAAACTATATTGATTAAAAAAAATGTATTTTATTATTTTTCAAAGCAACGAAAGTTATTATTTATAAAAAAAAGACAATTGGTTCAAAAATGATTTATTAACAAAACATTTTTCATATATTTCAACAGTTCATACAATGTTTTAACTACTTACAATGTAGTTTTACTTTTGTACATAATATTGCTTTAAATCAATTTAAACTACACAATAAGTTTTGTATTAGTTCCGTAGACTAGAATGACATTTTCATATGTTGCTAAAATTAAATTAAATTGTAAAGTTATATTATAAACGGTATGTATGTAATGTCAGTGTCCATATTGTAAAATTAAAAAAAAAACTTGTCATAACGCTCACAAGATGTCGCTAGCTGGGCTGAGGTGATGTTTTTACACAACGTCATAAAAGTTGCATTTAAAAAAAGTTTATCACTTTCTAGAGTACACAAACAATGTCTCAATGGTTTGCTCTTTAATTTTTTGCACATTTTTTCGTCTATTCAAGTATTTTACCTTTATAAATAACTGTAGTTTACCGTTTATTTGTTTCTAATTCAATGAATATAAAATACGAGCGATCTACCCCGGCTACGCACGGGTGATTTATGGACCTCGACAACAGCGCTACCTACAGAGTCAATTGAGTTTTTAAACCATACAGGAACCCATTCAAATACACACAAAAAAAATCATAAAATTTGTTCAAACCGTTTTCGAGTTTTAGCGAGACTAACGGAAAGCAATTGATTTTTATATTTAAGAAAGAAGAAGCGAAGAATAAAATAGAAGAAGACAAGAAAAAGAAGAAGATAACTAACATTTCAGAAATAAATATTAACCCTTACATATTTCTAGCAAATTACTTCCCCGCCATAAAATCTGTCAAATATTAAACCTCATTACTAAGAACCGCCGCCATGGTGGCAGAAAAAGTCGTGGACGAAAAGTGCTGATGTTCATTGCGCGGGTATCACAGACTATATTATAGGTATCACCTGAATACAGCAGAAATGAAATACCAAAAACAATTTTAATTAAATATGTTGTATTCTATACAAACGAACTCTAAACACTAAAAGTTCTATGTAAGAACATTGATTGACTACGTACACAAAACATATATTTAAGGAATTATTAACAGTAGACCACTGGAGTTAGATTCTTTTTTTTTTTAATAATAAATGTCTTCCAGACCGTACGTGTATTTCAGTTTCGGCGGACAGTCTCGACGGAGACAAGCTGTGGGCACAGGGCAGGCATAATTAAGTATAAAGTAAACTTTCATTGCTAATACTTACGGATGCCGTCATACTACGTCTATACTGGATAACTTGTATGAGTTGAAGCCTATAGCACTGATATTTTACAAAAAATAAAAACAAAGATTTTGAATTTAATTAATTATTTAAAATCTATCAAATTCAAATCATATCCAGCCTACTTTACGAACGGCAATTTAACAATAAATTTAGTAGGCATCTTTGACCTTGTCACTTCGTAGGGTCACAGGCTAGGGTGGATATGATTTGAATTTCGATAGATTTTAATTAATTTATTTATTTCAAATTTTTTGTTTTATTTTTTGTAAAATATCAGTGCCATAGGCTTCTACGTCGTTCATATGTTACACCCTATTTTTTTCTAGACGGTAAAAAAGGTCATCCAGTGTATAAAATTACTCTGTGATTATATTGTACTAATGTTTGCGCAGCACAGACACCCTCTCTATTTCCTCACTCTTAAAGTTCAATGAGACGGTAATCTGACATGATCGAAGGGATGAGGCACAGAACCAACGCCTTTAAGTTCTTCCCGAGGCACGGGATGGGGGTGAAACTTCCGAAAATTCATTGACATTTAATTAATAATTTGCTTGTGTACTTAATTATCATAGTTAGAGTAGTGCTTATACTATAGCATATTTTAAATATGTGTAGTTATTAAGTAGTGATAATTAATCTATAATACTGACGGGTAAGAAATGGACATAAGGTAAACAAAATAGTGATTGATATCAGCAAAAACGAAACATCTGTTTGTTCACGATCAGATGGCAGATGGATTTTAAATACGGGAAAAAGTAATCAACACAACAATCACAATGTAAATGAAACGCAACATATTAATTATAGTGGCTTGGCTTAAAATACATTTTTTGCATACTACACTAGTGATCCGCCCTGACTTCGCACGGGTGATTTATGGATCTCGACAACAGCGCCACCTACCGGGTCAAATATGAATCTAAACTATGTAACCGCATGTGCCGTTCTTGAGTTTTAGCGAGACTAAAACGCCCATTACATTATACAATTTGCAGAGCGCTAGATTTAGTGCTGCAGTGAACTATAAAAAGAGCTCACTCATTACACTAGAGTAACTAGCGAAGCTAGTTAGTTTAATTTCCTTTCATTTCTGTGGTGATCGTCGTCTAAACCGCATCTTTCAAAAAGCGCTAAACGAATATGGTACTATCAAACCACCAGAAAGTTAGCATTGCTTTAGCAATGGTGTCAAGTTTAATGATAATTAATTCAA